CTCAAGCTCTACAAGGCCATAAAACAAAGAAAAGGCCTGACTTTCTAGGCTAGTGGTCATGACAATCACCTAAAAGGGAAGAATCTTTCATTCTGATCATTACTCCAAGGACTAGAAACAATATAATTTACTTTATCTGTACATACCTGTCTCAATCATGTTTTACCACACATATTAGTCAGAAGAACATTTTTAGTGTGTTGCATCCAAGACAGCTAGACATTTTTCTTAAAAAAACATTCATAGGATTGTTTCTCTGGAATGACTGTGAGGATCACGTGCATACGGAGAAAACTAATGAGCAGCTGATCTCATTATAAGACTATCACTACTGCAGGTGGAGTCTTTGAGACATGGTAAAAGAAAAAAAAATAAAACTAGTGGAGTTTGACAAATGCCTTTTGAGAATGTAGGTGATGGAACTTAGGAAATCTTTAGTCCAGTTACATCAAATTTGGACTATCAAACCTTCTCCCACTTCTGCAAGACCATGAAAAGGTCAAGAAATTCATGTGAACTGCAGAGCCCTACAAACAGGTAAGCAGTCTCAGACATCACATTCATAAATTTTCTTCCATAAATGAGCTACAATATTATTCTAAGGTTTGAACACTTCTCCCTGCAGGTGAGGTGCTGTGGCTGTGGCTCTGTGTCACAAAAGCAAGGGATACAAGCATCATTTAGGATGAGGCAAAGAAGGAAACAACCATGAATTTGCAGTGAAAATAACTTACTTCTTTTTCCAGAGTCTTATTATAGAAAAGAAGTGATATTCTTTGAATGTCTTCAGATTTAAGCCACTGCCTAGAAGAGAAAAGGAATATTCTAATTGACATTATAAAAATAAAGTAGTCCTGTCTTTTTGTATTACTGAAATTTAGTAAAATAGGAAAATCACTTTGAAAATAGTTCTTGCGTATTGCAATTTATATGGTGAATTGCACTGACAGTAAAAGTGGAAACTACAGATCTCCTCTCCATTTGGATTTCTATTGCTAATGCACACATGAAACAAAAGCTCAGATTAAACATTTTTTTCTGTGGATCATTCCTAAGGACAATCAAGGGAAAGCTTTATGTAATTCTGACACTGATATTCCACTCATGTTCAAAATACTATAGTATATCCAGTGCACAGAAGAGAACCTGAGATAAAAACAGTCCTTCACAAGGTACCTTTAAGAAGCACAGTTACAATATGCACAGGGGGCAGGTAAATTACACTTTACGAACTCCTATTCCAAATAAAAATGTAAAAATCATTATTAAAAGAGGTGGATTGATTTTGTCTTTGAGCTGTATTAATCTCTTGACCATTACTCTGTACTCTAGAGGTAGATTTTGATCTTTTTACTGATTATAAAAATTTCCCTGCTTGAAGATAAGAAATACAAAATAGAATAAGTACTTGCACTGAAATGACAAATCTATTTTAAAAGAAGTGAATCTTGACAAAAGCTTACAAAATGAAATGTTCTAATAAGAAAATTTATATTTATTTTAATGGATACTTGAAAAGAACAGAATATTTAAATTTCAAGAGGGTTAAGTTGCTGCACTTCAAAGGGACTAGATCAATTAAAAAAAATATTTAAGTAGACTACTTCTGTGAACATGCAGTATTTGAGCTTGAGCAATAACAGCAGGGCTTGAGATTTTTCGCAGCCTTTCCAGCAAGAACTTTCAATTAGGCTTTAAGCTAATAGTGTAGCTAATGTCTTCCAAACAAATGTCTCAACTGACAGCCTGCAATGCAAATAAGTGGCAGCAACAAACCACAGTGGAATATATTCTAAATTAAGGTCCAGGGAGAACAGTAGTAGACAGAGTGGAGTGTAAGCCATTAGCTTTGATTTATGAAATCTAAAATAGTAATTTCCTTGCCTGGGAGACTGTCCCTGTTCTTGTGCAATCAGTTTCATTACAAAAAGGGTGTGAAAACATATTCAGTTCTAGGTATGCTTAATTAAAAATATATATTTCCCTGTTTGTTCTGCACTGGCTCACATCTTCAACTGATCTCAGTTAGGATTCCAAGAGGAAACAAATATAATAGGCTGTTGTACATATAGCATGATTTTGTTTGGCTCCAGCAGTAATCTACTGGAGAAAACATTCAGTTTGTGGAACATTTTTGATAACCTGTGCAAATTAAGTGCAAATCTTTTCCCATCTAGTTATAAATATTGAACAAAAAGTAACCCTTTTCTCCAAACTGTTAACTAATTTCCCTCTTTTCCTTACAGTATGTGACAGGCGGATTGATTTAATTACCATTACCACACTGCTAAAAAGTTCTGTCTGCAGATCTACTCCCAAAGGCCTAATTTGGTCTGTACACACTGCGTTGCACGTGAAGTCAAGAGTGCCATTTAGAGAAAATGCTGCCTCATACTCCACATTTCAAGCTCATGTTTTCAGGAGCTTTTAGTTCTATTTTAAGGCTCAGAAAAAAACTATACTGGTCTGAGATGAGGGAAAAAGCATAACACAGAAAAATGGAAGCGGACAGTAAGTACAGAAAAGGGAATGCAAAGTCACATACCTTTGGCACAGAGATAAGGGCTGAAAAATTCTGCCTACAGCCTGACTCCCTGATGAGCCTAAAAGTTACCAAAGTATCTGCAAGTATGTGGGGATATACCTCCTGGGAAGCTAGGTACCAAATTTATGTTTAAATTCTTTTGTAATTCAATGAACAACACAGCCAGCTGAATTCTGCCTTTATCCATAGAGATGTGTGGTTTGACAGGGCTTGTACTGATTGGTAATGTACAGCAAGGAATCATGCACAGAATGTGGCAGACACCACGACATAAAGAAAAAAGAGAGGAAAGAGAGTGTGTCTCTACCATAGTAAACTACTTATCAAAAGGCAAACAACTTTAGTTTAACTCCTTCTGTAGGTATATATTTAACTAGATGACTGTTATCCATCCATCACATGTCCCACAGAAGTCCCCTAACCACCAAAGTTCAGGGTGGCATAGCTAGGGCTACTCATCTCCCTCCTGTACAGGACAGGCACTTTGCAGCCAGGAATACTTTGTTCAGGGTAGGGGGAAAAGAAACATGTGGAGAAAGTATGATGTTACACGCTAATGGCTAAGGCACTCAGCTGAGACAGAAGCTCTTTGTTCCTCACCCGCTCTTTAAAATCTGTATTTACTTATCTTTTAATGTAGCACTCTAACAGAATAATAATTAATAAACAGGTCATAACTTTCCTTGTGCAGCTTTCTAAGGAGCATTGCCAACTAAATCTACTACTCTGAATCATGCTATAAGGCCAGCGGGCTGCTTTTTAGATGCTACAGTTTCATTTGCATTCCAGAGGATGGAATTAAACCCAGATGTCCCCTGTTACTGACAATATGTCCATGTGGTGCTTGGCATTTTTGTGGAAGGAGAGCTAAGGTAGTTTGTGAACCAGCAAACAGCAGTGAGTGAGGGAGCCCAAAGAAAACGTTACACTGCTTTAAAAACCCGAGATACCATTTCAGTATGTACTGCACTATTTTACACTGTGTAAAAACAGTGACTCATTTGGACTACAGCTTTGCCTTGGACCAAGAAGATCCAGAATCTATATTACCTTATCTTCCAGTTACTGGCTGTTAAACACCTAAGCATGTAATGTCCAAAGACCCACATGCTATCACTATATGCCTCCAACCAGTTACTTTTTTCACGGAATGACACATGGCAAAGAATCATGATGTGGATGAAAAAGTTAGACTGTGCTGACAGCTCAGTGTGGAAGAAATAATGGCTGTGTACAATGAATATTTGCTTTTTAATTACTTTAATGCAATTTTATAATTAAAATGGTTAAAAGAATGGTAATTTAATGCCATATTTTATGTGCAATAATGTTTTTCTTAATTTTCTTCATTCAGTCATAGGCCTGTTCACTATACCACCCAAACTTTACATTTAAAAACATTCAGAGATACCAGTTTTCTCATAGATTTTCTTAAAAGTTTGCTTCTTGATTCACTAAAGTAAAAGATTTAGCTTCACAACCACTACATTAGATTCCTTGATGTTTTCATTTGTCATTTAGTTTCATTTAGTCAAAAAATTTAGGCATAAAACCCCCACACAATTATAAAGAAAACAAAAACGTGATTAGTTTTTTGTCCTAAATGTAGGAAATCTTTTATCTAATTTTTCTGAGTGTTTAGCATTCACACAGTTAAAATATTATTGAATTAACTTGCCATTTGGGAATCAGCACTTTTGACAACTTATTCTCAGGTACTCAGTGAAATAATATTAAGTGATTAATTCAGCAAATCAATACAGGGATAGGCAGAGAATCTAGTTTTGGAAGGTGGCACATATAAAAGATCATTCCTTGTCTTTGTGCAATTCCCCATGTAATTCACAAAATGCACTGAAACTTTTTCAGAAACCTTTTTTATCAGACAAACATCTTTTATCCTCAAGGTTCTCTGAATTTTATGCACTAATTAGATAAGACAGGGATTCTCGGAGATAAAACAACATGCAGCATGATCATACTAATACTTTATTTTAATGCATTTATACAGATGCTTTACTTCTGACATCAAACCATCATTTTTACAACACACTTATCAGAGCAAGTATACCTGAAGACATATAAAAATTGCCAGCATTTGTATAGCTGTTTTAGGTCCGTCTAGTATAATCAAAAGGCTTTGCCTATCATAATGAGCTACCCTCTTCCACAGTACTCTTTCTATGACCTATGTCAACACTCTTTTCTATAAAAAACTGAAAAATATTCTCCTAAAGCCAAGTACCTTTTAATAGGGCTATCAGCAAAAAATCAAGTGTGAAATATGAGCATTTAATAATTAAGTGTAATACTCAGCTGATTAAGACTCTGAGTAACCGAAGTAGGCGGTAAAATGTAATTCATCACAACTATTGTCCACATTTTTGAAAGGTAATATCCTTATTTCATCAGATAAATGTAAGAAACCTGAACACTTACTTTGGACTGGTATTGATTTTTCTCTGTCTTATCTATTCACCCTCAAACAGAGAACATCAATACCTCCTCCAGCTCTTCCTAGGACACAGAAAAAACACATGCCACATTGCCTCCCCCCCCCAGCTTCAATATGCCTTCAAGCTTAGCCTTCTCTAAGAAATCAACTAATCAGCTGAAACAAAGAGATGCTAAACTAAAACTATGATTTTAGGGAAAGTTTCTAATTCTGAGGAGATGTTTCTGTGACAATTGTAAAGCAGCAATTTTCACATAATTCTGATTCCTGAGCCAGCTATTTCTTGTGTCTTGCTTCTCTGCTCTCAGATGAGATAATTCTGTAGAGTTACGGCTATGAGTGTACAGATACAAACAGTTACAGAGCAAAAATCCCTTTGCCATGAAGATCAAGACAAGTCAAAACCTCTGTCATACCACAGTTCATCCCATATAGTAGAAAATGTTACTGTACAGACTATCTTCACAATGTGCAGAGCTTCCTATGCCAGTATTAGTGACACTTTCACTGTTTTCAGACTTCTCTGTCTATGTGGGAGCGAGAAATGGTAAACACCACCCACTGTTGCAGATTTATGTCAAAGTTGAAGGAAGGAGATAACAGAGGATAAAAGCATACTTTTGAGCATTGATTCCATCAATGGCCTGGATCATCCTCTCATTTAGCTCCTCCTCAAACCTTCTTTTCTGTGATTTTGTTCTGAAACGAAAAATATGGGAAGTTACTTTGAAAAATCATTACATTGTTAATAAACATTAACTTTAAACAATGAGGTGATAGCTGACATAAACTTGGGAGGATAACAACAATTTTTTTTATACATTTATGCTTCAATAGGAGCTATAGGCTTCATGCACACTGAGCCTTACAATAAGGTCTTAACCAAAACAGTGTAAGCTACAGAGTCTGACACACACATAACAAAAAAAATCTAGACTTTAGCTGTTAGGGAGCACTTAAAAAACACACACTAGAGAATATTTCATAGAAAAAAACCCAAAACAAAACAAAAAAAAAAACCCAACAAATCAAGAGAGTTCAAGACATTCTGGTTGAAGGAAAGTCTGCCACAGTGTTACGAATTCATGAAAAAGAATGGGAATATTCTCAAATTCATAAAACATTCCTGTTTCTTGTAGTTATTTGTAAAAATCCCTGTCAAAATTGTATGATGAGCAAAATGTGCTAGTGCACTGAGGCCTAAGAAGTACTCTCTACTGAAAGCCTCCTAGCTCTTCTTTTCTTGGAAATACTTTATTATTTTTAATAAGACAGCTGAGCACCAAATCTGAAATTAGTTTTAAACATACGGCATGTTTCTCTATTTAATAACTTATAATACAACTGAAAGAAAAGGATCTTTTCTTTTCACTGGACTCAGCATGAATCTGACAGAGAATCATCAGAATGTGTTTGTCTTTGCTAACATATGTTACTGTAGACATCATCAGTCCTTTTAGCAGTTGTGCTCTCCTTAAAATCTGAATATTGCCAGATTATATCTCTGCCTCTTGAAAACTTAAATCTAATGTCAACTTAATAACAGTATTTTGCAGTAAGTCAACAGTCAGATCTGAAATTTGACTCTTTGCATACCAAAATTTTCTTAACCTACAGTAGAACTGAACTCTGTCAAAGGTAATACAGATTTTCTGCAATATCAAATTTTTGGGTTATTTCCTCAAAACTGATAACCTGTTGCAGATTTCAGATTCATATGGAAATTATATTAGTGTACTTACAGTAACTTTAAACAATCCAACTGATTTCATGTTTATTCAATTTTATAGAATTTAGGTAAGAAAGTGTTTACAACTTATTTTCCACATATGAAACAATCTGCCTAGGAGAAATAACTAGACAGATGAGGAGACATTATCTCATCACACTTAATCCACTTGGCAGATCTCTAACAACATAAGACTATCATGTAACTAGGTAAGAGCTAAGATTGCCAGAAACAGAAGCCTAAAGTCAGGCTTTAAAACCCATATTTTCATATTCTCATAAAATACTGATTTTCAAAGTGCTTATTATCATTACAGCTCTCTCCTCTGGGAATGACTAACTAGCTTATATAGAATCCTAGTTATATGCCTCATAGAATCCTAGTTATATGCCTCACTATGGACATTAGGCTCACGTAATGGTTTCTAGAAACTCCTTCCATAATATGGTATCAAGACATGGCAACATTGGTACCTTTTGGATCTATTTTGGAGTGGAATTTAGAAAGACAAAAGCACAAACATCTCAGAATCTTATAGAATTGCATTATTTGCAAATACCACAGTCCAATGATCTTTCTTTTTACCATAAGGCTGATAAAGTCCTTTTGACATACTGTCCAAATGTAAATGCTCAGTTTTAAAATCAGAGATTGTTTTTATTAATATCATGGATATTCATTCAAAATTTGTTCATTTTCTGGAATTTAGTAATATTTTAGGTAATTGCATAGCACTTCAGTATCCTGTGATTTGTTGAGGAGACATTTACCAAGCAGAGAGATGGGGAAGGAACAGACTTTTTTTCATAACCAAAGACAATAAAATTAAAAAATTTTAAACGGTTCTTTCAAATCATTTTATGGTGTTTGTGATGTTACTTACAATTTTGCAAGGAAGACATTATCTGAAGTGTTATCAAGTCATTAAAATAAAAATAAACCATTCCAGCTTTCTGACAGTGCTAAACTTGTTTTTTAAACACATGACATTCTTAATTTAGAAATTCTGGGTGGTTTTAAATATGTGATCAGTTCAACCCTGTTTCCATTTCTCACCATCTTGCCCTAGTCATTGAACTATCAAGCAGGAGAATGAAAACTTCAAGCTATTGTGTTTTTGTAAACATTTTGTGTACCAGGAGCACTACAGGAAGACCATAAAATAGCTTTTGAATGTTTACTACTGCAAACATACTACAGACTTTGAAATAATAACACACAATGCAAGCACAAAGCAATTAACAAAATATATAAAATGTCTCTTTTAGTACATATTATTACCTGTTGTAACACAAATTATTAACAGACTTTTCCACCTTCCCTTTTACTACCCTTCTGTGCCTCCTCTCAATTTTCCTGCATTTAATTTTCTCCTCACTGATAGAGAATTGGGTTGTTAGGAGAAACAAACAGTAGCCCATCAACATACTTATACTAATTGAGAATAATGCTTTTTGTTAGTAGGAAGCATATTTGCAATTCATAAGTAACATACCTGCCAAATCCTTCTCTATGTAAGAGGTATCAGCTGAAAAAATAGTTTGGGTGAGAAATGGTCCTCAATATTTGAAAGCATGCCTTATATTCATATGAATGCATATGAATATATGTGTATTTATATGGACTTTATATGAATAAGTGAATTCTTAAAATTAATTTACCTCTCTCTGCAACGCTGAAAATGATATTGCCCCATGGGAACATCCTAAAAAAAACAAAAGAAAATACCCATGAACTATAACAGACCTTGACAACCTTAAGTTACTTTAAAAAATGGTGCTGAAAATAGGGTCAAGTAAGGAGAAGTTTCCAATACAAATACTTTTAGCTTTAGATTAAAACTGCCTAAAAGAAAAATCCAGCCAAGCGTGAAGATGGAGTGACCTGCAGACAAACTGATCTATCATTATAAACACTAAATAACTAATACAACAATCTGAATCCAAGAATGTTTTGCTTTACTAGAAAGTCACTGCTTCAAAGTCAGTTTTAATGTAGCCTAAACTCCTGCCACCTTCATCAAAAACCAATGTTAAGTGTTTTTGAAAATACTTAACCTGAGTGGCCAAATACAGGCAATGGTCATTATTTTTTACTGATAAGCAACAACAGCCCTCACAGTCACATTTATTTTGTGACAAATAATGATGGCTGGGTACTTTCAGTAAGGAACATGTCACAATCCACATTCTGATGCACTATATTTATTGAACAAGATGGGCTAGGTGGCTCAGTCCTATGTCCTCCTATGTAACAGGAATAAAACTGAATGCCAGTGTTGAAAACTATCAGAATTTACCTTAATGTTTGTACTTTTTAGTAGAAGATAATACAACGTACAAGCTGTGGACTGATAGCATCTTACTGACAGCAGTAAAATAGCATTAGTAAAATTAAGAAGAAATCTTTTCTGTTTAGTGTAAGAGATGTATCATTGCACTACAGCACTGTGAAACTCAGGCCATCAGCCAAAGCTGATGAGTGGTTAGTGCACCTTAAAAAGGTAGATGTTACAGTGAGTGTGGATTTGGTTTCCAGAGAACTCTTCTAATAAAGTCCACTCCAGTGTACCACAGAGATATTCCAACTTCACAGCCTTTGCTCCAGGTTTGGCCATGTTACAAAGGGAGACTGTGCCTAAATAGCCAATAAATCTCCAGGAATGTCTCTGTACCAAAACTGTTCCTTCCCAAAGGTGTTGCACTCTGGCTTTATGTTCAAAATATTTCCACAAAGTGAAGAGCAGCCACGCTACATGCTGTGACTGGGGTTCAAGCACAGAGGGTCAAATTGTGTATTTTAGTAAGTACACTGGACTTCTTATAATTCAGATATGCACTTATAGCAAGAAATGGCTTCTTAGAGCCTAATCTAAATCTCACAAGTCAATGTAAAAGCTCCCAGCAACTTCACTGAGTTTATGCCCTGTACAAATGTGTGTATCTTCTATCAGCAATAACCAAGTATTTAGCATTGAGCACCTTTTTCCTTTCAAATATTGCTAAATTGTATGAAATGAAATAAGTAGGCCCCTACTGTTGTGCTAATCTTGCCATTTTCAGTGGTCATGCTGTCCCTGTGGTGCAAGTGTGCAAATGGCTTGGCTGCTCCCCAAGATTCCAGGTACCGGGTCATGCGGACAGAAGCTCTCATTTTGGCTCCATCAAGAGTATTTCGAGGTCTAATGTGGTGCTGAGGGCTTCGCTTCTCTCCCTGGTTGATAGAGAATAAAAACTGATATCAGCCTTGGTGTTCAATACCATTTAAAGTAGTAATGCATTGTCTGGTACCACATATCTTCATGCTTAGGAACTTAAAAATGGAGAGATGCTAAGAACCTGCAATTCTTAATGATAGTGCTGGGAAATATCAGAGACTTATTTCTGAAGAGCGGGAAAGATTTGCAAACATTATGTATTTGTAGGCATCAGTAATAGCTCTGATTCATATCTTATGGTACGGAATTATTCAATTAGAGAGATTACTGGTCCTGCTCAAAAATAACTATGACTGGCCACAAAATAAAAGTACTACTAACCTTAGGATTGATTACAAAGTAAGTCTTAACATTATGCTCTTTCAGATATGGGTCCCTCACATCTCCATCCCCATCTTCCACTTTGTAAGCTCCATTCAAATGTGCCAAGGTGACTGAGGTGATGTGAACACGGCTGAAATTATATTTTAAAAGAATGACAGAATCACAAATACCGATCAAAAGCATAATTTGAACCTGATCAACCTTTTTCACTAGCTTTTGGATATACTTTTTATATGCTGCTCACTTAATTTACAACCCCTCTAATCTCATTTTTAGAAGTTGTAATGGATATAAATCTAAAGCTTTCCATCCACAAAAACTACTCTTTAATACACAGGAGATACTGAGTGCCCTTCTTGTTTTGTTTTAAAGACAGCACTAAGAATTTGTTCAGGCTTCTCCATGAATGCTGATGGCTGAAGACATGGTACCTATGTATTTCTCCATGGTACAAAAATCCATGTGTCCAAAGGTTAACAGAGGATCCTCTTACCCTGGCACTCCTCCAGCTTCCATGTGATTTGCCAGAGTAACATCGTGTGACCAGACATCGTACTGCCACTTCTGTAGCCCAATAACGCCACAAAGCACATTCCCAGAGTGCACTCCCACACGCATATTAATATCAACTCCAGTTGCATCTCTCACTTTCCTGTAGTTGAGAAGAAAATACGTGTTAATATACATAATAGGGCCTTTGATTAGCAGTAACAATGGTGATAACATATATTTCTTTTTAGCATTGCCCCCATTCTTTCAATGCTAGGATTATTTTTATATATTACTTTTACTATTATCCATATTTGCAACTATTTGCAGTAAATATTAATTCTCAAGTCCATGTCTGAAGTCCCTTCTTTTATACTCATTTGAAATTATTTCAGAGGGCTGAACTAAGTAGTGGATATGTTTGGTCTCATGATAGAACCTGTGGATTATTTTTGTTCTACAGGCAGCCTTTGGTATGGCTTTTAATGTAGCGACAGTCCAATAAACAGATTTTGGAGATCTGGAACTACGGTTATGTGCTTTTCTATCTGAAGACCCTAATATCTACACTGGAGATCTTCTCATATCTGACTTCTGTCAGGTCCCATCACTCTTGTATGCCTGCTTTGAAATTGTTCTGCTCTGAGAGGAAGGATGAAAAACACAGCACCTCAGGATATTCTACGGGCTGGTGACTCATACGCTTTCTGGGGATATGGGCTCAGGCTCAGAGCCTCTGTTCTCCACAGCCTACCACATAGTTTGTGAACACTGTACCCACTAAATCATTATACAAAGAATAAGATGTCACCATCACTGTCCAAAGCACATCTAAACTTTTGACCTTTCCAGTAACTTTAGACAGAATTGAAGTATATGTTCACCCCAACTCAAATCTCAGAAGAGCCCTATGCATAAGATAGGCACTAATCTTTCCAGAACAGGCTCTTCTGAATCACAGGTGGGTGACTCAAGTCAAAAAACCAGGACATTTTCAGACATATGTCATATGGGTCAGTAAGAACATAAATAAATAGCTATAAAATTAATTCAGATGTCTACAGGCTTATATAGTTCTAAGAAATGGGAAGACTGTAACTTAACTGAATTGATGTATTTAAGCCCCAACTCATGTGGATCAAAACCTAATCAGTAATAAGGAACATATACATATATTTATCTTGGGGGAATTCAGGGTGTTGATGGAAGGAACAACTATAGAATAAGAAACCCAAATTACTCTGGTACATGAGACAGGTTCATAGTTCTAGCAACATCTGCAGTCTTAATGATGAGAATCATCAGCTCTGTACCTCCTGATTTATAGAATTAAACTGGCCTGATTGTCTTCCTTTTTTTTTGAAAGGGAACATAGAACTTAGGCTTAATTTGATATGGTAAATCCTATGTGTAAGCAGTAGTAGCCAAGTGTTCTTTTTCCAGGAAATGAAAGTAACATGAGCATGACAAAGTATTTTGTTAAACTGTGTTTTTAAGCTATTAAAAAAAAGAGAGGAGAAGTTTTTTAATTCCCTCAGTCTCTATCAAGTGTTTATTGATATCTCTTTTCACTTTGCCATTTTACACTGCTCTCCTGTAGCTGACACACTTGAAAATGAACTGCTTCAAAATGATCTTTGTAAGCAGTCAGAAAATGACAAACACCACTTTGCTCTGCACAAGTAATATGACACAAGTTTAACACTTTGGAAAAAAAGAAAAGTGTTTTACAAAACTGGGCGAAGTGGAAGAGGAACATTTATTCTCTAGGAGTGCTTGTCAAAAGGCTGCCCTGCCATATTCTGGAGAGCAAGCCATAAAGTCTGCTTTATAATAAGCTCTCAGGAGTTAAGGAGGGGAGCAAGTAGAATATGTTCCAGAACTGAATCTTCTATTCTGTCTCACAAATTAAAGAAACCACAGAAGATTTTAAATTAGAAGGTTTACTGTGGACCAAATTAGGGTTTACTACTTCTTCGCTCCTGTGCTCCCTGGACAATTGCTATGACGATGCAGGCACTGAACACATCCAAGAAAGTAGCCTATCACACCCCCATAGGACACTTGCGTTACTGACACAAGTATATCTGAAACTTCCCACAATTATTTCATTTTCTGCTCCCACAGTCTCTCTGGTTTCCTTCAGTACACCACAGTCAGTGTGCCCATCCCCGCTGGAGAGTGAAAATACTCATCAAGACTGGATTTTTCCTATTGCAGCCTGAAATTTAAGTTTGTAAGGATTCTATTTTTTTCACAGGCATGGTTTGCTTGCAGGCAGTTGCAGCAACTTTAGTCCACACAAGCAAGAGTTCAGGTCATTAGCAAAGCATCTACTCTGTTTATCTGAGCTTTATTCATTGGTAATTCTGGATTAATGTATCAAAGACGCACCTAGTCCTGTCTTACACATTTTAACACATTCAATGAGCCTTGAGCACTTAGTTATGTGTGAATTGCTAGCTTTAAAAGCATAGTTCCTTTTTGGATCAGACTTCCACAAATTAAATCATATCTAACAAAATTATTTTATTTTGTATCTAGCTTTAAAATTCGTACAACTGTCTCATCCAACATTTTCTTTCACTTTCATTGGAAATGGAACTCATTTCATGCTACCAAATCAAAAACAGCCTTTGAGAATCTGTGGCTCAGAAATATGTAAATTATGAAGTCACCAGACAGACAAGAGGGTGGAGTTTGGGCTGAAGGAAAACAGCACTTATATTCAAACACAAATACATTTTGCGTTAATAGATAAGCTCTAGCCTTAAAGCACCCAATTAAGGTGGCCAGCTCTCAACATCATAGGCAGCACTGGCATCTATGGCTTGATAAGGTTAGCATCCCGTTCCTGCACAAGCAGGTTGCAGATTATAAAAAACATTGGATTTGTTCCACATAGAGCAGAGAAGCAAACCAATTCATCAATGGGGCTACTAACGTGTTTAAATGGAAACAATCTGTAGAGTAGTGAGGCTGAATTGCTCAAAATGGAGCTACGTATCATTAGGAAACAAGACTGAATAAGACTTTGTACTACAGATTACCTGCTAATTTGGTAGAATTCCTCCTTTTTGCTTCAAAGAGAACTGGAACCAAAACCATATTCAGGCGGTAAAATCTATACAGAACTGTTAATCTAAACAGTAAACTGCTTTATTTCAGTAACTTACACACTGAGGGGTCAGTTTGCACCTCAGTGACTGACTGTAAGAAAAACTCATAACTGACAAAAAAGATATTTTAGACAGAGTCAAACACATATTGAGTGACATGCTTCTGACAGCAAGTGTATTACTACTTTTAGTTTTACAGGCCATGGAAGTATTTCAGGAGATGCTTCCACACAAAGATGCTGCAATAACACAACAAAATATGGACTTGATTAATGAGTGATTTTTATTCACCTTCAGGCTGCAACACTTGACATAATACTTTAAAAACATTTCAAACTATGGGGTATAGATTCCTCACTTCTTACAGAGATGTATAAGCAGGCTGTGATAGTCAGGCATCTGTCTACAGGAGCGTTGTGAATTCTGACTACAGTAATAAAGTCAGATCAGAATGTGCTATACAACTAAAAGATAACTTGCTACTCTATAAGGCTGCTCTTACCAAGGAGGACATTATCATCCATCATTAACAATAAACATACTTGATAGAATATTGAGTAGAAAGTTATTGCAAAGAAAATTGGGAAGTTCTGAAGTGTGTGGAACTGTCACAAAACAACCAAATACGTAGATTTTAATACTTGGCAAGAAGGACTCCAAGTACCATTTAAACAAATAGATTTATTTGGACACAATGTAAGGTATAACTATATCTATATGAAGAAAAAAAAATTAGAAAATGCAGCAACCTGATTTCTGTACTGAAGTTAGTTTTACAAAAGACCCCTAAAGCAAGGAGATTAAAATCCCAGTTTCCATAAATATTACAACTTTTCTGTGAATATCTTAAAAATAAAAGAAGCAAATTTGCATTAATAAACCTACCCATACAGCAATTACCCTGGATCGAATCACAAGACCAGGCAACTGAAAGCTAAAACCCTCCTGTGACTACAATTACCCACATATGAGGGTAATATTTAAGGATTATAAGGATTAGAGGTTTCACTTCTGTATGCCTGTTTAGTTACTCCCTGAGACAACACTGTTCAACATAACTACCCATTTCATGATGAGGTACACACCATACAAATACCTCATAAGGATGAGGTAATTGCTTACCTTGCTACCTGGACAGTGGCAAATGTGATTTGGGCAAAACCATCAAAATTGGAATTGAAACTTACAGAAGAGTATACCAAGTCTTAAAATCAAAGTCCAGTTATTTAAAAAAACAAATCACACAGGTGACTACCAAATATTCAGACCTCCATGTGATATGTACTTTTGTGAAGTGTACCTCACCTAGATACAGTGTAATTTTAGTCAAAAGAAACAGCTTTCCTACAGAAAAGACATTTGTGCCATTAACAATAACTGCCGTAAGTAACCATTTACAGCATTTTAACTCCTAAAAGCTAAAAAGAACTTCAGGTGTGAATTACAGACAATGAATTATCTGACTTTGACTAAAAAAAAAAAAAAAAGGAAAGTTTTAAAATTGTTCTTTCCTCAAAGAAGTACTTTCTACATAAGTTAACAAAATCAGACCCTTGCTTAACAAATAAACTACAATACTGAGCTAAAGTTTCTGGACAGGCAGGTTTCAGAAACAGACCTTTCAGTATGATGTACAGGCATCCAAACTAGGTTTGAGTATCCTCATATTGAAATGTGTCCAGCTTTGGTGCAGAACTCATCCAAGGCAAGTAGTTTACAAAAGTTATTTCCTCTGCCCTGAGCGTTCAGATAGTGGTCAGGTGAAGAGATGAGGGGGAGTAAAGCTGCTCTTTTGCAAGACGTCTTTGAAGTCCCAGCATCTTCAGAAATGCTACAGTTGCCTCTAATCCATTCCCAATCTACTTTTCAGTAATAAGCTAGAGGATTCCTCAAGTATGTCTTTAGTTGTATCCTCAGGTGCCTTACAAGTATTAACCCCTCAGATACAACCATATTTCTTTTTCCTCTTTCACCATCATATCAAGCCTCCTGTTATTACTTGAGTTACCCGAAGTAAGTTACAACTGCTATTTCAAAAGCAATCATATTAGGATTTTCAAATACCTTATTCTATTTTCTGTTTCAAAGACAGAACAAGCACAATGGGAAATAAATTTGTCTTTCTTTCCCCTTGTGACAAAAGGGACAAACATAGTAACTCACAAATCCAAAATACTGCTGATAAGCACAGAATTCTCAGTGGTGTATTACTATGTTAACTGACAAAACATTTTAGAAAGTTCTTACCTAAAAAAATTAATTACAGAAAAGTTGAAACTAAAACTAAACCTGGGGTCTAGTAAGACAGGTACATCGTATTGCTTATTTAACAACATGGGAAGTAGGTCTCAGCCTGAGAATCTGTAAGTGATTAGAACTTTCTTTGGTAGACATGCTCAGTATCACTCCTCAGGCTCAGGGCTTGAGACATCTTAATTGTGGATGGGCAACTGCTCCTGACCATCACTGAACTCCAAACTCATCAGGAGCCAGGAGCTCTGGCCTCTTACAGAGACATTTGACTAACAGGTGGGTGGCAGCATCACTACTCTCCAAAAAGGAAAGCTTCCCAAGACATAAGTGGTATCTACTGGGATATTCAGCATCTTGTAACTACAGAATCACAGATTAGTTGAGGTCAGAAGGGATGCCTGAAGACTGTCTAGTCCAAAACAAAACCTGCTCAAAATAGGGCCAGCTAGAGCAGGCCTTGCTTAGGGTCATGCCAGTTGGATTTTGAGTATCTCGAAGGCTGGAAACTCCACAACCTCTCTGGGCAGCCTCTGCTCAGTCACCCTCACAGTGAAAAAAGTGTTTCCTCATGTTCAGAGGGAACCTTCTGTTTTCAGTTTGTGCTCATCATCTCTTGTCCTGTCACTGGGTACCACCAAAAACAGCCTGGCTCCATCTTCTTTGCACTCTCCCTTCAAGTACTTAAATGCATTAATGAGATTGTTCCCCCTCAGCTTTCTCTTCTCAAGTTTGAACAGTCCCAGCTCTCTCAGCCTTTCGTCTTATGGGCAATGCTCCAGACCCTTAATCATCTTTATGGTGTAGTGACAAGATATCCTGGCACAACCCAACAGCTTAAAACATTTATTTGCTCAGGCTGAGATCAGGATTACCATGCTAGACCTTGTAGTAAAACACTCCAGCTTCTGCAGATCTGAATCTTTCAACCATCAGCACAGCTACAGATGGAAAATAGATGAAATTTTTATCATTGAATATTTAACAAAAACTTCAGCACTTACTTAATGGCTTCACACATGTCCAGTCCCATTTTCACACAATTCTTGGCATGATTTTGAAGCGATATAGGTAGTCCAGAAACACAGTAATAGCAGTCACCTAGGATTTTAATCCTCATACATTCATTTTCCTGGAGGAAAAAGCAAGGTAAGATGGTCACTTTCAACTTGAATCACATTAATTAAAGGTTACTGTTACAAAGACTGACTTAAATGATAGCAAAATCATTGTACTTAAGCTTATTTCAGTAGAGAAGGATTGGGATTGCTAAAAAAGAAGTGCTGTCACAGAGAGTTTTGTATGGATGATTCCTCCATCTGTTCTGGTCCTTAATGGGCAAAACCAGGAAGTAAGTTAATTGTAAAACACATATCTGCAGTGTTGTACACACCTTTGGTTAAAGAACTAAGCCAAAGTCCTCAATCTAAATAAAGTCTTTTTGTTTGAAATACGGAATCAAAGGACCTAGCCATCCACATTTACATCTTTGAAGATGTACTGTGCAATACTTCCTGAAACTAGCAATCATAATTTTCTTTCTATCTTTGGTACTCTAAGGCAATATAACATTTTTTTTTTTAAGCAATACTGGACAATAGTTTTTGTACTAATAAAAACTATAGAAAATTTATATCTATTCTAGTGTTTCTGATTTCACCTTCACACATAGCATGAATTTTGATGTAATTTTTATAAAAATGAAACCTAAACTGACTGTATCAGTTTTCTATCTAGAGTTTCTTAATCCTTGGTATTGTAAAAAATCTATTTAAAGAGCTGTTCACCTTCTATTAAGCTTTACAGGGCTTCATGAGCTGTCCCTATTGGTCCTATTAGAAAGCGCTATCTTGGGTTTCACAGATTGTAGAAACAGAAACACACTGTTGCACTCAGACTTGAGCCAGATTTTTTCCTTCACATATTTTAAGTCTAATCTTCCTGCCAAAGCCTCAGAAATGCTGTCTGAAGGTAGAAGAGTCCCAAAGAAGAAAAAAACATTCTAATGTTGACTTACTTATTTAAACTAACTGTAGCAGCCCAGTAGAAACCCACCTTTGCAATCTGATCAAACTTGCCAAACAGCTCATTTAGCATGTGCACTAGTTCCCCTGGTGAGCAGTCACTGGCCAGGCGAGTGAATCCCACGATATCAGCATACAAGATACTACAATAGAAATGAACAGAAACTTGGTCACAGTTTCCTTCTGCAGAACTCAGATATATCAGTCAACAGCGAAACCTGAAAGTAGCCATTCTGGACTTCACAGAGGTATGCCTGTATGCAAAATGGCCACTGCTAAATGTAGAGCAACAAACATAATTATATTTATAGGCAAACCTACACTTACCTTTACAGGCATCATGTTTACATGTAATATATACCTATTTTTACCTTTATAGGTATTACCTTTATAGATACTACTTTTACAGGTACACCTATATTTATAGGTATTTATAGACATTTTACACCTATATTTGTTACAGTGTATTCAAAAAGTAGAAACTTTTTTCCTCCTCACAAATTGGCAATATAGTAATGGCAATTATTTCAGTAAATGTGCTTGTTATCAGAAATTGCTTAATAACTTTTTATCATTGTAGACATTTTCTGTCTAGATTTACATGTCAGTGATATGCAGCATGGAAGTCGCTGTTCACTTGTTACTCAGACTATTAAAGTCAAGCTTGACTGCTAAGATATTCAAGCCATACACTAACTGCTTGAGAGAGTCCAGCACAGAGCCACTAAGATGATTAAGGGAGTGAAGCATCTCCCTTACGAGGAAAGGCTGAGGGAGCTGTGGCTCTTTAGTTTGGAGAAGAGGAGACTGAGGGGTGACCTCATTAATGCTTATAAATATGTTAAGGGCGAATGTCATGAGGATGGAGCCAGGCTCTTCTCGGTGACAGCCAATGATAAGACAAGGGGCAATGGGTGTGAGCTGGAACACAGGAGGTTCCGCTTAAACTTCAGAAGAAACTTCTTTAGGGTGAGGGTGACAGAGCCCTGGAACAGGCTGTCCAGGGAGGTTGTGGAGTCTCCTTCTCTGCAGACATTCAAAACCCGCCTGGATGCCTTCCTGTGTAATCTCATCTCGGTGTTCCTGCTCCGGCAGGGGGATTGGACTAGATGATCTTTTGAGGTCCCTTCCAATCCCCAACATTCTGTGATTCTGTGATTCTATGTTTTTATTCACCAAGAAAACTTGACCAATTCATAGCATCAGGTTAAGGAAAAAGTATTTGTGCTTGCAAGTGAAAATAAACTTTTTCAAAAGTTCTGCAATACTTGCTTTAAAAATGTAATATCTAAGATCATTCAAATTAATTTGTCCAATCAAAAAAAAAAAATAGGCAAAACAACTTGTAAAGATGAAAGAATATTTGGAATTAATGATGAATTATTTTTCTAACATCTAGAAATTTATAAAGCAGGATTTTGTACTTTAACCTGAAAAATGAAGTCATCACTATGAAGAAAGCCTGTTAATGTGTTGCTTTTTCTAAACAACCTCCTTGTATTATCACCTTTGTTGCTCTTCTGGAACACAGGATTGTTAGCATTTGATCAAATTAATAGATATTAAACATGAAGTTATTGAAAAACTTATTAAAGCAATTATTTTCTTAATCACTCTCTTTAGTAAAAAAAAATTCTGAATGTCATTGATACATTTTATTATAGTACAATACCTTACATTGGTGTGTCTTTTGACATACAAGTTATGAAAGTTGTTGGTGTTTTCCAGCTGGCCTGCCTTGGGACCTTGTAACCTCTGGATGATCTCTGCTTTCATCTCCATGGCAATGTGAGCAGGCAGCAAAGAAAGCAGAAGACGTTCCTAAAATTTAAAATGAAACGTCCACAGTTTCTTTAAGGAGAATGAAATTAGCATGGACGTAATACTGTGCAAGGCATACACTATTGTCAATTCCCTAGAACATTTCAGTGAGGCTTGCACTCAGGCACTTACCTCGTATGGCCTCCAAAATTGATCAGTTCCTTAAAGAACTTGACAGAGATATACACATATTTCCATAGCTAACTTCTTCAAAAAAGAAGTTAGAAAAAGGTTAAGCTAAACTTAACATCTGAAGAAGTTATGTACAGTAATCTATTCAATATCTGAGTAGGATGTGGGAAATATGGATTAGCAAATAAAGCAAGAGCTTCAAGGACTGTTCAGAGGACTTCAGGGAAATGCAGTCCAATTGAGGCAAGAGTAGGCTAAATCATTTTTAAAATGTGTTTTAGATGTTTAGTCGTATTTTTAGCAGTTGTTAGACTGAATATTAAAAGATACATTCAGGACACAGAACATACTGAAAATGTTGGACTTTTGCTGACTATTTTGATATGTACTCTCCCCTTACTTTAATACAGCATTTGACAAACCAAAGTATTTTGAAAATACTAACCTAAATGGAAACTGAATATTGTTTAAACTATCACAGAAACCTACATATTTTTCCTTCTATTTTGTTGGTATTATACCCATGGTCTTCCTGTGAAGCTCTCTTATGTCAGTACATTTAAATTTTGCCCATTTTACCTGTGAAAGCTTTTCACTGAGTTCCTACTTCTCTGGAAAATTGAATAAACAAGATAATAGCTAGAACTCTGTAAGAAAAAGCCCTTCCTGCTTTGATCACACTCCACCTCAAAAATGAACAAGAATTTCCCATTTTCTCATAGGTAGAGGGAAGAGGCTAATTCTGGCTAAGCACAAAAAACAGAATCCCAAACCAGTGAGGAGGGGGAAGGTAGCTGTAAAAGCCCATGATAGGGTCAGAGAGAGAAACAGCTGTGCCAGAAAAGATTACGACCTCAAAATGTGCATGGTCTGCAGGTGTTACAGTAATGTATTTATCCTCTTTGGTTCACAACACCTGTTTTTGCAGAGTTTGCAATTCCATTCATGAAGGTACCAGAAGAAGTGTAACCATTAATCCAGTGCTCTGTCTGGGATAATTATTCCTGTTCAGGTCTAATGACCTTGAGTAGAGGATGGCAATAACAGGGGGTATGGACTCTCTGCTATTTGCAGCTACCTTGGCTATCTACCTCTGTAACATATAATGAAGACTTCCCATTCCCCATAGCATTTCTGTACCTGTAATCATAGCAGTAACATATACAAGTCAGTATAAAACTGGTACTCCCCTCGCTTTGTAAAAAAACCTCTATTTCAATGACTCAAGACAGAATCTTGCTTTGTTGCTAAGTAATACTGAACTTTTTTTTTTTTTTTTTGCACTTTGGTGAGATCTAAACATAATTTTAATTCACCTGTGTCTGGATTGCTCTTTATTTTGCATAGTAAGGAGTATCACATAAATAGTAAGACAAGTTATGAAATAAGTACTCAAGGTAAAGAGTATCTGTCTCTAGTTTGACTGAAGGAGGCAAGAATAAAAGATAAACTGTTTTCCTACTGCTAGAGTCTCAGATTTGACACATTGTAACTGAGAAGAATATATACAATTGACTTTTCATCAACATGTTAATATGGTTTTATTTCTTAAATGCAAGATTAATTTAATATGTTTAGGCATTTTAGCAAGTATACCCCCAAGAGGCAAATGTATTTTTATTTCTAATGCATTCCACTGGTCCTTGGTGGCAGTATTTTGCTTATTTATAAAGAATGCCTGAAAAACCAATGGATTTTTTTCCATAATGAAAGCTTACTCTTGCAAGTTGCTCTTTATCTAAGAGAAAGTTGCTGTTTTGTGATGTACAGGACAGGAAAGCATTTGTTAATAATTATCATTAAATAGTTAACAAAGAGGTGAGTGCTGCTAGCTCCAATTTTACATCACTGTGCTCCTGTTGCACCATGGCTAGTAAATGCCAGCTGAGTCACTATAATCCTGTGACTCCATTATGATTCCAGACACACAGTGAGGCACAAACTCAGTGTCCAAGTTACTGCTTATGTCTTTGAAACCCAGAGAGGTTGGCAGAAGGTCAAAGAGAAAGGCAACAAAGGTTTTCAAGAAAGCAATAGGAAAAGTTTTTGCAGGAAGCAGTGTAAAGTAAACTACAAGCTAAAGAATAATAAAAGGAAAGGGAAAACTGAATGTCCTTATTTTGTAGAGAAAAGCACAAGAGACAGGACATTTCCTCTCCTTTTTCTCTCCAAGTCACTATCCCATTCTGCTTAAACATCTGGTGAAGCTGTCATCATACCAGCACTTTCCTCCAAATAATGTTTTCCTTCCTCCATTTCCACTGTACAAAAGAGAAGGTTACAACCAGAGGCAGCTTTAGAGAACTGCAATTTGTGAAGCCCACTGCAAAATATCCTGCAGTATCCAGCTAAACCTAAAAGCTTCAGTCACCCTCTTCATCACACAGGCTGCAAGCGCCCACATTTCAATCCTGAAGTTACCACTTGTGTGATAATGTGTTATCAAGTCACACATTACATTTCACACAGATTGTTAATTTTGGTTTCTTTCACTAAAAGACAACTTCAAAAGAAGCTGAATCTCAACTATTTATGGAGATTATGGCTGGGCTGCTCAGCTAGCCAAATACAAAATGGTTGCAGATACCTTGTTCGCTCTATTTCTGCTAAATGATCCTAAGAAATACAAAGCATTTAAGAACACCTCTTCCTTCATATTTTTGTAATCTCTGGTGGCTAAAAAGAACATAGTCAAATGATCAAAACCAATTATGAACCAGATTGTAGTGCCTGATGTTGTGCACTGAAATTTCTGCAGACTGGAGCAGTGTGAAGAACATCACAAATCAAGACTGTTGCTTATGATGGTTTTTTATTTGATAATACACTCCGTGCTATTCTCTTAAAAAGACAGAAAATCTACAAATCAAAACCTAGGTGAATTGACATACAAGACACTGACTTTGAGACAAAACACTTATTTATTTGTAGTAGATGGAGAAGCCACTCTCTTACAGTCTGCAAGAAAAAAGCCAAAGTAACTCTGAATGTAGGTCAAGATGCAGCATTTAAAAGTCTTCAGACTAAAACTAACAGTACCCACTTCTGGTGAAAGAGAAACTGCAGTGCTATGGCAATAATGAAAATCTCACAAATATCTTTCCCTGAAATATTACCAACATGACCTTACAGCCAGTATATGCAATTCAAGCACACAGGACTACTTCCTGACAGCTTGTGTTGTCTGGGGCTATGCTTTCCCTTCACACTCAGATCACTTGTAGCTGAAATCTTTAAGCCCTAGGCCTAACAGACAGAGTACACAATCCACACTGAATACAATATTTTAGTGTCTACAGTACTGTAGGGTTAAGTGCTCCTCTCTTCTCAGAACATGTCCATCTGGATCTCAGAAGGTGGCTATCAAGAAGTCATTCTCTCTGGATTCTCTAATTGAGGATTTTCAGTGGTGTCTGTCAAATTTTTTCTTGAGTTCTTGCTCTCTCAAACTCTCATATCCAAGTTGATTTCCTTGTCAGAATTTTCCCTAAATTATACAGATTACTTTAGCAGTCATTGCCAGTTATTCATCACTCCTCTAAAGTTTGAGAAAGGATGTTTGTTTAGCTAGAGTAAGTTAGCACATCTCAGTTAAAGACCATAGCATTGCACTGGTTTTTGCAAGATGGTAATTGCATTTGCAGTATCTTGCACAATGAAGGTCATGCTATTGTTATGCAACAAGTGAGCAGAATATCCTCAAATGCTTAGTACAGTAGATTTTCTTAAGTGCATACTACACAAAACAAACTCTTTTTCACCTGATGCAATAATGCTTTATTTATTTGCTCATTCCTGGTTTCTTATGTAAACTACCAATTCTGATTCACAAATCTGTACAGGATTACATGACTATCAACTCTTCTCTCTACTGAAGCATAAATAACTCTAAGCATTTATAGACTTAAAGGACAAATATTCTTCCATCTAGTCTGATCTCTTGAATAATATAAACAACAGAACATCATCATGGATAAACAAAGGTACTCTGATAGGGCTCACTATGTTAAAATTAGCTTAGCACCTCACTGTCAATGGAGATAAACTGTCCTTCAAGGCAATTCACAGAATCTAATGCTGAACTCCTGTAGAGGAAAAGTCTCTCTCTCTCTCTGTTGTCTATGGAGGGAGCTGCAGGTCTAAATTTTGGTCTTACTATAAGAAATGTCCACCTTTATTGTTGAGCTTCTGATGTTGAAGTAGTCTGCAGAAACAATACATATATGTGGACCAATTAAGTGATATAAGGACGTTTTTGTCCCTATAATCCCCTAGGGATATTTTTGTCCCTTACAATGTCATTTAGGGTACTGAATATTGAATTTGACTTTTCTGTGGGCTAGGCTTTGTTTTCTGGTTGCTGTGGCATATGTCTAATCGTCTATTTAGCAAATCAGGTCAGTAAGTGAGCAGTAAGAGCTCTAGAAGTCTACACATTAGTCTACACATGCATCCAGCTTCACAACAAAGTTTATAGATAAACATGGATAAAATAAAATTTTCAGCTGCCCTTGAAATGTACTAAGAAATAACTTACAAGAAAGGAATCTTGTGATTCCTGATCACTCATTGATTGTGGCTGATAGAGATGGTGATCAACAGGGTACTTTTTTGGTAAATTATAGTACTGTTTACCCAGATTTCATGCACATACTCTAATATACACCTAAATAATAGGATACTAGGAAAAACAGCTGTAAATTGCTTTTTCTTAAAGCTAACTTGGACTCCTAACTGGGAGGGAGATGATTTTTAAAACTTAGGTGCTATTACCCCCTTAAATTTAGCTTATGTTAGTTTTCTTTATATGTTAGGGTTTTTTATATTTAGCCACCAATCTTGTTACTTGTACTGAGACCAGTAAATTG